GACTCTCAGTAATTATCCCTTCTTCCACTGAACAGGAGAAGACAGATTACATTTCTAACAGTGAGGCGCAGAACCAGTCCATTTGCAGAATTAGTCTCACATTAGCACATAGGAGCACAAATCAGCCTCCCCCGGGAGGGGTCGGTTTGCAGTTTCTCGGAGCGTTTTTGGAGTGAGTCCAGCAGACTTTGGGAAAATCCAGCATTCACTGACTCTGAATTAACAAAGTAACTTGACCCCTTTGTGGGTTTTCTTTTCTTTCTTTGTGTGTGTGTGTGTGTGTGTTTTTGGCTTGGTTGAGGAGGTATTGATTTTTATATCTGTCTATAATTTAGGGTTGTGATTCTCAACTGTTAGTGTGTATGAGGGTCCCTGAGGAAGAGGTGCTAGAACCCACCCTCGGGATTTGGGGTGAAGGTCCGAGAGGCCCTGGGCAGTTTTTTAACTCCACGGAACATTTTGTTGTGTAATAATACAGGACAAGAGTTGTGAGTAGAGGGAGGGAACCTGTGCCACTGAGGAATTAAAACTCGTCTTGCACAACATGTTACTAAAAAGATGTTTTTCCTTAAATTTTAAAAATGTTAGTATTTTAAATCTATTGGCCTTCTGTATCATAAATTTGGCTACTCTGACTTTGCTTGGGCTATTAATGCGAAATTATTCTCTCTAAACATTTTAGTCATGTTAGCATTTTTATAGTGTGACCAAGCTTTCCTGTAGTCCTATTTCCGGTGTCTTCAGTCTCTCTCCCGTGGATTATCGTTTCCTCCGGAACGTCATCTTGTCGATGTCTGTGTCCTTACGTCGGCACGGACAGAGACGGGGTCGGTGTGGCCCGTACCCTCTCGGACGGCTGGGCTTCATGGTGGCCTACGTGGAAGTCTGGTAGCACCTTTTAGAGCACAAGGCATGTCCCCACTCAGTGGTGGGAAGTAATGTTTTTCACTTACACCTGTGACCCATGGGAAGTACCGAGGCCAGTGCTTCCGACATCGTGCCGCTGCAGTCAGGGCGAACTTGGTGACAGGGCCAGCGCTTCCATCAGGACGTGGCTCTGAATTGTGTCAAGTCATGCGTGCCTATGAACGAGGTGCGTTTTCAACCACAAGGTCGAACGTGCTCATAACTTCAATTTTTAGTGAGGTATTTCCCCAGTGATACATTACCAATAATAACGAAGCGAAGTTTGTGAGTGATGGACCTAACCTTGAAGCTACTCCAGTGTTTTGTTTGGGCTGTTTTGGTGCGATGGTGACTGCTTTACCTGCACTGCATTACGACTGGGTGAGAGGAGGCGGGGGCAGAGCGTTACCTGCTGTTCCCAGGGTTGCGCATTAGACCCCTGGGGAACCTGTTACGCACAGTTACTATTGTCAAAGATGGTGTGTGTTGCTTTGAGGGAACGAAAGTTGGATTTTTCATGAAATAGGCTCTGAGATTCAGGTTTACATGTAGGCGGTTTAGTGGCTTGGCCTTTCTGAGAGGCCCCGAGTTGAGGCAAGGGGGCCAGGCCGTGGCGTCCAGGCACCGATGAGGTACTGGGTGTAGACTGCCCTCCTGGAGGGGACGGAACCTCGCACGAGGCCACTCGTTGGGCCCAGGGCGGTGCCTAAGGAGGGACTCGGCTGTGAGCCCACAGTGGGCAGCGTTTTGGGCACCTGAGGAAGGAGTGTCGTGGGGCCAAGGGGCGATACGAGTGACCTGCTGCAGCGCCACCACAAGAGCCATCGATGGACTGTCTGGCCAAAAAAGATGGAAAGTGTGCAACATGAGACTTCAGCGTGTGTCCTCCTGACCTCGTGGGCCTGCCCATTTCTCAGAACGTAGACCCTCCTGTGGTATAATATCGGCTCCCTTCTTTCCTGCAGTTCCCTGACCAGTGGTGGCTGCAGGGAAGGTTGTTTGCATAAAAACCTGGGTCCTGATCTTTTTGGAGATTGACCATCATTTATAATTCGAAGAGCCCAGTGATTTTTTTTTTAAGTTTGATTTTGTAATACTGGTGTTTACATAATTTTACTCAAAGCTTTGAAGCAGTTGTCGCCCTTCAGAACTAATAAATGGTCAAGAACCGCCACCGCTGGTGCGTTGACAGAGCAGCGTGGCATCTCCCATCTTCTGTGGACGTGGGAGCCGTAACCCCTGACAGTCACGGGCACCCTGGGGGCTGTACCCCTTTCAGCTACTGTGCATGAGAGTAAATTTTTCCTTAGTTGTTACTGTGGTATAACCTTTAAATTAGATAATTCTTTTTACTTATTTATTTTTGAAGTTTTTTATTTATTATTTTTAGAGAGGGGAAGGGAGGGAGAAAGAGGGAGAGAAACATCAATGTGTGGTTGCCCCTCACGTGCCCCCTACTGTGGGCCCAGGCCCACAACCCAGGCATGTGCTCTATACTGGGAATTGAACTGGTGACCCTTTGGTTCATACACCGACACTCAATCCACTGAGCCACACCAGCCAGGGCTAAAAATGGACAATTCTTTCTAAAAAGCCTCTCAGGAAAGACCTGTTGTGTGGGTAGGCTCAGCGTTCAGACCCCTGAATGACCTAGTTTCTGCGATGCCACCCCCTTTCCACTGTCACCAACGATCAGCTGCTTGTAGCAGGACCAGGGGAGACGGTTCTGTGTGAACAGCAAGGCAGCGTGGGAGTTGCGAGGAAGGGGAGCCTAGTCAACAAACACGTGTTGAAGGGAAAGGAGCTGGAGCATCACTGAAGGAGAGAAAATGGCACCGTTCGTTAGCCCTCTGTGATCGCACACTGAGCCCCGGCACCTCTGCCCGCTCTTCCCTGTCACGTTGCATTTTCTTTTTGATAACATGCCTGGTCGTAGGGGATTTACGTCTGCTTTGCAGTCGAGGAAACTGAGGCTCGGATACATTCAGCCTGGCCTCGCGGCTGGTCACGTGGGAGAGCCAGGTTCCTCCGTGTGAACCTCTGCTGCACCCCCCCGTGCTAGGCTGCACCCTGAGATCTTGGTGGTCGGAGTCACAGGGGACGGTAGCAGGGCTGGGGTCTGCTGAGGCAGAGGCCCTGTTTTCCAGGGTGGGATGAGAGAGTCGGTCCCCTGGATATAGGCAGAAGAGGGAAGGCTGCTGCCCTGGCACTGCGGCTTCCCGCACCAGAGTAACTGCTGACAGGCGGTTGTTCTCTCCTGGACATTCTCAGGCTGCTTCACAGCAGCGTCAGGTCCAGACTCCAGTGTGTAGGGAGTGAGCCCAGGGGGCCAGACTGAGAACAGTGCTGGGCACGTTTCTGAACAGTGAAAAGCTAAGTTCAGTTTGCACAAGCCCAGGCTTTCCTTTGCCTTTATTCCACTCGTGTGAGGATACGGGACACTTTTCTCTTGCTGCTTCTGTGAATAGGTGAGGTAGGCCTCTCCACCTCACTGCGGCCATATAATCCAAAAGAGAAAGCACCGGCTTGCAGAGGATAGTCTGGTCTTGTTGGGACTTCCCCCCACTGCCTGTGACGGCCTCTGGGGTTGTGTTGAGGGGTCTCAGGTGCCTCTGGGCTAGAGAGCGATGCCGAATTTCCTTGATGAGTGAAGCCAATTAGTTGTGGGCCGGGATGGAGCCCGATGTCAGACCGATGACTTCCCACTGTTTTTTTAGGCAAGGACCCTTCTGTCTTCGAATTACACATGCAGATTTTTCCCTGTACCCCCCCATAGCCAACATTTCTCTCTTGATTTAACATTCTGTTCCTTCTTTGCCCACAATGGACTGTCATTTCTTACTCTTCCCCCCCAGAGAGCCTTTCTGGACCTCACACTTAACTCGCGTTGTTTTTGTAGTTGAATACATTTCCTTCTTGTGCCCTGGATTATCTTTTAGCCCCAAGACTCCTAAATGAATGGTTTCAGAAAAATCTTTACCTCGAATCTTGGTAGGGTTTAAAGTGGTGCTCACACTCCCTTAAAAATGCTGAGACTGTTTTCAGTTTTGAGACTTCACCCTTTCCATAAATGAGTGTTGTGTTTGAGTAATGAATTAGTAATTTGTTTGCAACCAGTAAGTCACTGATGTCAGTCAAAGCTTATTAAAGATGAATTTTATTAAGCAATTTCTGTTGGGACAGAGAGCACTGCCTGGCAGAGCTCTGCAGACGCAAACCCCACAGCGGTGGCAGGTGGGTTTGGGAGCAGGCAGGGGGCTACGTGTGCACGCTTGGGGCTTTTTTCTGTTTCACACTCGTATTTCTTTGTGCTGCCGGGATCGTCGTGACAGCCTTATCTCTCAAATGAAGCCTGTTACCTCATCCCTAATTGCTTATCCAGAGGCAGACGAGCTCTAATTTCTCTGCATTAATAAATGACACCGAAGAAGAACTGCTTTGTTTGCACTGGCTCACTCAGGTTAACCAGTGCGCGCCCCCGAGTGCATTAGGGAGCCTGTGCCTCTCCAGCGGCCGCGGCAGGATGCTATTCACCTCACTCAAGAGCAGCATTTCATTTATTTGCTTTTTTTCTCGTGTTCACGGCCCTATTCCCCTTTTCCTATGAAAACACTCGAGTGACCCGGGTCAGCATTTCTCCTGTGGCTGTGGGGTACTCACCCCCTCCAAGTTGGTAGGGTGGCAGCAGCTGTCCTGAGGGGGCCAATGGCCCCCCCTGATTTCAAGGCTCACTCTCTTGGCTGCCTGTTGCTCACCTTTCCTTAGAGGCCAAGAGACCCCCACAAACCTCCGCACAGATACCTGGTGCACCCCGGCTTGTAAGAGGGCCCCACTTCTCCTTTGTGAAGCATGGTGGGAAATGGTCTTGTGGATTTCATACGTGGATATGGGGGCACGTGTGAAAGTGGTTGTCCAGTTCTGAGTGAGCTCTGTGTGCTCTGCCGAACAGTGAGGAAGGTTGGCTCCTCCTGGGATACACCATCAGCTCTCTCGTCGCCATCTAAGGGTGTCTCTGGTCGTTTAAAGGGCCTGCAAATACGAGCATTTTCAGATCCAGAATTGTGAGCTTATTTCCTTTCTCTTTCTCTCCTCAGAATGAAATGGATGACGTGCCATTCTTTGATATCCAGCTGCCGTATGAATTGGCAATCAGTATATTTCAGTACCTGGACAGGAAAGACCTGGGGAGATGTGCTCAGGTAAGCTGCCATTAACCGACGTGCCAGATTCACCTACATATGTAATTGAAGTATTGGGAGCTCCTCTGTAACAGAAATTTACTTACAGAATGACCAGCTTTGAAGGATTAATGCATTGGGTAGCAACTTTTCGTGAAGGAATGCAACCTTGAACTAAGAGTTGTGTTCCACATTGTCGCTTATTCATCTGTCTGTGACCGTCTGCGCTGGAGCCCCGTTCTCCCCACGGTCGGAGTCATGGCTGGCTAGGGGTTGTGTGCTTGAGGCCGACCACTCTGTGCTGGGTCTGTATTGCACCAGTCTGAGCCGTTACCACCCTCCTTGTGTGTAACGCAAAGGTGCGAGCCCTCAGTTTACTCAAGCCAGCCTGTCAGGTTGGGAGCCAAGGGTCAACCTGGGGACAAAACAGTGAAGTCATGTTTTAGGGGTATAGTCCAAATTACCCTTAAAACACCAGAATCCCACTCAGCGAGGTGTGAGGCACGTGAGACCTGAGACCCACCAGGGAATTGCAGGCCAGTGCTGCACGCCCCATGCTTACTCTGGGGCAGACGTTCCCGGGGTGGGGTGGTGGGAGGTAGCGTCGGGGCCAAACTTCATTGTGCACATGAGTCACAGGGGATCTTGATAAAATGCAAATTCATACTCAGGAGGTCGGGGGGGGGGGGCAGTAATCTGTATTTCTGAGTGATGCCAGTGTGGCTTTGGCGAGTTTTGAGAGGCAAGGGTTCAGGCCCTTAAAATTAGTCTCTTGTTCTCTTCTTTTTGGGGACGAGCATATAATTTCTCCCAAGTTAAATGTGTATATGATTGCTGACCATTGGCTTTTCGTGGACAGCTGTGTTCCCCAGAAGACACTGGAATACCCATTGCCCATAAAAGCCAAAGAATGAATTGGGTTGGTGGTTGTCCTTTCCCACCTCTGGATTATAGAATGTATTTTACCCACGTGTCTATAGCTTCAAAAGAAAGGGTTTGGTAAAACTGAGTGGTAGGAGAATTACACACTAAATTCCAAAGTGCCACCAAGAATGTGAAGTTAAAAAGTGTGAAGGCAGTTTGAGAGTGAAGACTGTAGCCACACTGAGAGTCTAGAGCTTGCTATTTCTGTGGCAGTTCAATGACCTACCACGTAAAACGTGTAAAACAGGACAGCTGAGAGAGTTTTTGCTTTTACACTATTTCTAATAAAGTGTTTTTGCTTAATCAAAATTACAAAATGGGGCAAGAGCAGGCTTACAGTTCTTGGTGTGGAAAATAATGCAGCATTTAATAAATAATAATACAAGAAAGAACTCTGGATTTTGTGTATTCACAACTGTAAACATTTTTGCCCCAACCTTTATTTTTCTACTTAAATAAGAATCTGAAAAATTTTTCAGTATTCTTAATCGCCACAGCATCACTTTAGTGGGGATGCTGGCAAGTCTTTTTTTTTTTTTGATGCAGAGTGTGGAAATCTTGGGAAATTATGGAACAAATTATGCAAAGGCTAAAATTCACTACATAAAAATGTACTGGAGTGTGACCTGCGCTTAGAGCCTATCGATTACATTGAGTGAGAGTGCCTGCATTGTCTTCTTCTTCCCGCTGCAAATCGTATTTGTTATATTCTAACTTTACACATTGGCCCTGTTCCCAAGAGTTGAAAACAAGGGTGTAGCTGAGTGAGTCCGACTCCTGGATGTCAGCCTGATACTGTGAGCCGCGGTCTTGGAGCGGCGGGCTAATGGCACGCTGCTTTCCACAGAGTCAGCGTTGGACGATAAAATCTTCATTCTTGATAGGGAGCTGCTGTCTAAGAAATCTTTTCTTTTAACATTGCTTTTTGCTCTCTCGCTTTATAGAGGGCCATGTGGTTTTCACATCTGCTGCTGGTTTTCTCATCCAGAGAGTTTATCAGCCACAGATAGGATCTCATGGAAGAAGAGACCCTCCTTTGGGTGCAGTGGGGCCGCATTTCAGGGGGTGGGCTGTGCTGCTGGGATTACTCCGCAGGTGTGAACGGTTTAATTTGCGACACAGTGGTCTGATTGTCCACCAGAATTCTTCCCTATTTGGCCAGTTGGATTTGGGTTTGGTTTTTTTTTTAAACCTTATCTTTTGAGTACATGTAGAAGAATAGAAAATATTTTAGACAAAATCCCTCAGGTGATTTTTTACGATGTGACTTTTTTCATAGAGCTGTTACATGAAGATGACCATGGATGGCCAGTAATTGGTAGCACTGGCTTTGTTTTTTTTCAAGTGTTAAAATAAAACCCTGACATAATAAAAATAAGTAGCATTTTCATTTGTTTCTCGTGGTGTTTTTATTTTTGAAACAGGGAAGAAGTCCTTCTGTTGAATGGACTGTCCTGCTGCTTTATGACTTTATTTTAGAGAGGCTCACTCTGGCTCGCTCTCTCTCTCTCCCCCTTTTAATGCCCACACCTTGGGATGTTAGTGAAATCGGGCCAGTTATGAGGAATTGGCACCACGGACTGTATGTGTACCCTTAGAAAAAACCCTTTGCTTATTAGATCTTTAGGCCAAATTGGTAACTGACTCACAGTAAGGAACCATGATGGGGGAGGACTTTGGAGATTTGATTATGCCGCAGATGAGAGCTGGCTTTGCTCTGACTTTGCCGCCTTTCTGCGTCCCCCTCCCTGGCTGCGTTGGGGGGCCTTCCACTTTCCTAAAGTCCCACCTCGTTAGTGACCCCTGCGTGCTTTTGGCGCTGACCTCTCCACCTCCGCGCGGGCAGTAGTTGTCCCTCGAGAGACGTGGTCTCTCTGTGGGAGCGCTCCACACTGAAATACCTTGGATACAGTGCGTCTTCTAGGAAGCAGGGTTACTCACCGGGCAGTTCATTGCACAGCTCTATCATCCCGCTACTTACAATGTCAAGTTCATTTTATCATGTGCGCCCACAGGGTTCCTAGCACTTTAAAGGGTAATATTTTAAAATGAATAATAATTACAAAATTGTCGATTTCAAAAATAGGAAATTGTTTAGTTTTTATGAGAAGGGTAAGTGTGCTGTCGTTTACAGCATGAATAATTCTCAGGAGTAAAGGTTTTTAGGTATTTACCAACATTCATTTACTTTTTGAGAGATTTTATTTATTTTTAGAGAGAGGGGAAGGGAGGGAGAAAGAAAGGGAGAGAAGCATCAATGTGTGGTTGCCTCTTGCACTCCCCCTACTGAGGACCCTAGCCTGCAACCCAGGTATGTGCCTGACTGGGAGTCAAACCAGCAGCCCACTCAACCCACTGAGCCGCACCAGCCAGGGCTCAACATTCATTTTTTAAAAACTTAAAATAATTATAAATTCACAGGAAGTTGCAAAACGTAACACTGAGAGGTCCCTGTGCACACCTCCCTCAGCCTCCTCCTTTGGAGGAACCACTGGAACACCGGGAAGCTGGCGTCGGCGTGGTCCACGGGGCCTGCGCACGCCTCACCAGTTTTCCACGTGCTTGTTTGTGTGTGTGTTTGGTCCCCTCAGTGTTACCGCAGGTGTGGATTCGGGTGCCCGCAGGGAGGGTGCGGAGCATTCACCAGCGAGGCTCTCTGGCGCTGCCTTTTTGTAGCCACAATCGCCTCCTTCCTCGTCCCCGGTTTCTGACCACGGCAACCATTAGTGTGCTCCCCTGTCTGAGTGTCTTTAAAAGTCCCATTTTAACACACAATTTAGTTATGTGTATTTCCTAGTGTGTCACTTTAGAAGTTTAGCTATGTAGGTAACAACATTGTGTTTTCCAATAAAAGGTAGAAAATTGTGCATAAAGAGAGCACTAGAGACAAAGAGACAAGGCGCAGAGGTTACAAACCTAAGATTTATGACCAAGCTGGTGAGCAGGAAGTTGGTGTCATCTAAATAAATAAGTAATTCTGGAACTAAAGCCAGCGTATTGGGTAACGATATTTCAGGTTTCACGAAAAATGTGATCTTATGATCTTCCCAGATGTCCGAATAGGAGAAACTAAAAGCTGAGGGTTTATGGTTAAAGATCTTAATGAAGTCTTTAAAAGCGGGAATCCATAGCCAAGTGCAGCTGAATTGATTTTCATAGCAGAAATGATCCTGAGGAACCATCGTTGCTGGCAGGGGTCCCTTGGTTCTTAACTTGCACCTTCCACCGGACCCCTCTCTCTCGAGGAGTTGAGTGCAGGCCTGGGACCCAAGCCCCCCGAGGAGTTTCCTTTTAATCTGCCAGGTGGCGGTGGCTGCCCCTCTAAACAGGGGCGATGGCAAAGCAAAGAGCTCTGGAAAGAAAGGCCGGGGCTGGGTGAAACAGGCAGCGGACCGGTGTTGATGGTGGTTTCAGCCAAGTGGTGGTACTTGCGAGTTCTTTATATTGTTCGCTTTACTTGTGTGTTTTTGGAGTTTGCCATATTTAAAAAGTTTCAAGGAACAAAAAAGCACAACATAAGAGATTGTGTTTGAATAAAGAAAGTCAGGGCCTCCTGAAGGGCGGCACGTGCCAGAAGCTGACCTTTGAAAATACAAGCAATCCAGTGTATTGAAGTGTTGAATTTTAAAAAATCGACTTCTTCTCCTTCTCAGTTATTTACAGAGGGCCTACTGTGTGCCATGTACCGTTCTACACAGTGAGTACCGCAGTGAACAAAACATGAAAAAGAAACCTCTGTCCTTCTGAAAGCTCACGTTTCATGGTGGTACATGCAGTGAAGAAAAAGCAGACGGCAGAGGTGAGGCTGGGGGCCACTTCTAAGTGGCCTGGGAAACCTTCTCAGACAGGGTGGCCTTTGAGCCAGGACCTGAAGGAGGGAGCGAGGACGCTGTGCAGGTCTCCGCAGAGGTGAGGAGCACGTGCACAGGCCTTGCACGGAGCGTACCTGCAGCTGCGTTTGGGGGCAGCAGGCAGGTCACAGAGCTTAGGTTGTGCTAGGCTGAATCATATCCCCCCAAAGACATTCACCTTGAACCCTCAGGGCCTGTGAATCTGGTCCTCTTATAGTAAAAGGACCTTTGCCGATGTAAGTGAAG